TTGCCATTAAGCTGTCCTTTCTCTGCCCCGGGTCACCCAATCACCTCTGCTTGTCAGAGCAGCCAAACTACCCTCTAAAACAGCCTGCCCCTCATACAGATGGCGGAGCTAGCAAAAGGGAAGGAGTGGGACTAAAGATGTGCACCGTGAGTGGCAGTTTGTTTGGGAGTTTTTTTAACCTTGTTCTTGTTTGCTTGCTTTCATTCTGGATGGTGGCTTGGCTTTTGTGTCTGCACATCAATGGCATGATTTCGTTGACTGATTTTTTATGAATTGCCTCTGTGCAGGGCACTGTGTTAAAAGATACAGTAAAGAACCAATACGGATTTTGTCCCATATTGTTAAACTAAAGAAAATGTATACATAGTTAAAAGATAGTATACAGTTAAAAGAATGATGAGGGGAGTTAGTGTTATGGGTATTTGGAAGAGGAAGAGAGAAGTGTCTGGCTACATGCTGAGAGGGAAAATAAGGACAGGCTATAGAAGAGGTAGCACTTGATTAAGAAATTTCATTGGGTGTTATGGGCTGCATTGGGAAGTAAAGTATCTGTTGCTGTGACATCAGTGAGCAGGCTGGATTGGAGGAGACAATGCCTGCAGGCAGGGAAATCTGTTGGGAGACGGATGCGAAAGGGCCTAAATTCACGTCACAGACATGTATTTGGCACACATCACCACTGGAAGACCTCCGTGTCTGTAGGGAATACAGGAAAGAGAAGAGCAACGATGCCCCACGGCATCCAGCCTGGGTGGATGGGAGGATGGCAGTGCTCTGAACAGTAACAGTGATCACAGGAGAAGCAGCAGTTTGTAGGGGAAGATAATGAATTGTCTGGACCCACTGAGCTTGACATACTGAGAGTACGTCCAGCCATCAGGACATTAGAAATGAGGTTCTGCAGCCCTGGAGAAGAGGCAAGAGGTCGTGAGAGATGCACTGGAAGGGACCGTTGAAGCCATGAAAGCGACCCCTTATGATTTGTTTCTATTGTAAGAAGAACCCAGAACCTCGCAGATTAGGTGCTCATGAAGTTAGTTACATTAGGACTTTTCTTGGAAAGAGAGTTATGTCACAATATGTAAATCTCACACCTGAGTAGTGTGAGTCTGAAGAGGGCTTGATTTTTAAAGTCAGGGATGTTGTTCTATAATAGCTTCTGACATGATTTCAGGCCAAAGACTCAGTCATCTTTAAGTGACACATGGGAATTGAAGGGATAGCCTCATTTCACCCATTTATATCATGTTTCCAAATGTTTCTGTCTTTTGCTTTCTCAGACTTGAACTTTGTTTTACTTAAAAGTTCTAATTCCTGAAAACAGAGAAATATGAAAAGAAGAAAGCAAAAAAATAAACCCAGAAAACACCCATAATACACACACCAGGAACTAACAACTGTTTTGGGTCCTTTTCTAATATATTTATGTGTACACACACACACACACATGTATATACACACACACATATGTATAAACATACACACACACATATATAGGCTTTACAAAAATGATTGTATAGGTGGTATATGAACACATAAGTTTTCTTAGTATTGTGGATTACATTGTCCATTCTATTTTGTATTGGATTTTTTCAGTTGACATTACATTTGAACATTTTCCATGTCATTAAAAATAGTTCAAAAGACTTCATGTTCATATGCTGCATAATATTTTATTCCATGAGTTTGTCATAACATGGAAGCATTCTCCAGTCATTGGACAGTTCAGCAAGGTGTGGACTTCGAGAGGATGATGTGCAATGTCTTTCTTCTACTTATATCACATGAGTCCAGAGTGACCCCTTCTTCATCCTCATCTTCTCTTCCTCCCACCACGACCCTTGATTTGAGAGTCTTTAGATGGAATCAAGTCATTGCCCAGTGTAGGAAGTGCAGGAGCAGTCAGAATAGTGAAGGCAATGGAGAATGAGTAGTTTTACCCCCAAACCAACTGTTTATTACATTTCCCTTTGCGATCATTTTTTTAAATTATTTTTGCCTCCTTCCCCACGGCGTGTATGTTCAGACACGTCTGAATGCATACATAAACATGTATGCACGCACGTACACATAAAAATGAAGACCTAAACATGGAAAGAATTTCTTAAAGTCCCTAAATGGCATCCTTTTCCGTCATTCTTCAATAGATACACTTTGCCTAAGAAAAAGATTAAGTGTCTTAAAAGGAAGCAATGGAGAGTTAAGTTTAGGCAGTGTTGCCTGCCCCTCTGTGACAATGTGGTGAAAGGCCAGGGCCATGCCGTGAACCCCAAGAGAGAGCAGAGCCCATGCACATGAATATGCATTAACAGGACTGGACAGAGCACCATTGTTTTGATATCTTTCTGTTTTCACAGGTGCCATAGAGTCATTTTATGAGTCTTCACCATGACCTATGCCACAGAAAGACAAATATAGCTATAGTTTTGCTGAATCCAGGTTTAAAGCTCCTCGTTCAAACAAAAACATGATTTCTAAATCAGTCCAATGCAAAGCCCAACATCTTGAATTCTGTAACTCCCTCTTTCATTCCCCTTCTTTTCTTCTAGCCTGTCTCCTTCAATATTACTGCCTCCATTTTAAACATCATCAGCTGATAAATCAGTTGGCAGAAATCTGTAACAGTTCGTTAGAATATTGAGAATGACGAATCATAGCCGTAAATTTTTTCAGGAGCAAAGGCAGCGATACGCATTTCTGCATTTAGGTCTGGATGTAGGCATGAGTGAAGGTACTAGGGTTAGCTAAAATACAGCTGCAAAGTCAGTTGTCTGTTTTCCTTAATTACCTACCAAAGTTATTAGAAGAACTTTGGAATTCTATCAAATACAGTTCTTTTAGAAAGAAATTTTCCTTAATTACTAGGCAGAAGAATTATTGGAAAGAGATCACATGATTCTAACCAAAGGCAGGATTAACCTTTCACATCCAATTTCTTGTCAAAAGAAGGCAGAAGAGAATAGGAAGTTTCTCTATTTTGGAAAACAGGGAGGAAAGTTTAATGTTAGTATATTCTTCCCATTCTTGTGTTTGTTAGAGCTATGGGATTTTGAACCTCCTCAAAAGGCAGCATCCGTTTTCAGGAACATCGTTACTGAAGAGTAATGCACATACACACACCGTGAAAGTTTAGTTATAGAAATGAATACCTTCAGTCATACAAATAACTGAAGACAATTTAGTCATGTAAGATAAATAAGCAAATTACTACTCCGGTGTTCGTACCTCTTCGGAAGAGAAATCTGTATTCAAAGATTTGTTTCTCGTTTTCTTTCATATTTAATTTCTCTCATTTCTCCCTTACCTTTCAGTAATTTCTTCAGGAACTACCCTTTTTATTACTCCCTCTTTCCTCCTTACCGGGCATTATGTCCAGCCAGTGCTATTTTTTATCTTTCTGTTCTATAGTATACTTTGCTCACTCTACCCAAAAGCTTAGGTTTACTAGCCATATTAAAAGAACGTACTGGGCTTCCCTGGTGGCGCAGTGGTTGAGAGTCCGCCTGTCGATGCAGGGGACACGGGTTCGTGCCCCGGTCCGGGAGGATCCCGCACGCCGCAGAGTGGCTGGGCCCGTGAGCCATGGCCACTGAGCCTGCGCGTCCAGGGCCTGTGCTCCGCAACGGGAGAGGCCACAGCAGTGAGAGGCCCGCGTACCGCAAAAAAAAAAAAAAAGAACGTACTGTATCATCCTATGTCAGAGGATGGGATCAAAGTGAGTCTTAATGTATTTATTTAAATATAAATACAAACATTTATATTGAATACGGATATTCATCCCAGAATATCCCGGAATACATGAGTTCCATTCATCCTAGAATAGAATACATGAGTTCCTTCAATATTCAAAAGAAGGACTTGCTATCGTTTGTCAGTGGTAAAATAAGTGTCTTCTGCTCATGACCTACCATGCCTTGCTGCAGCAAATACATGACATCCGTGAACTGAGCTCTGTTTCCCACTCTTGGTGGAGAGTCTGTTGTATTAGCCCTTTTATCTGAGATTCATGAGTCATAAATCTCCCACAAACAAGGGGACTCAGCAAGAAGAAAGGCTTGCCAATTGGAGGCTTTCCTTGAAATCAGTGAGGTAGTTAGTGTACTTTATTGGAGTCCTAAAGGCCTCTGGGGACTCCCACACAGCCTATAATATCATTTCTTGTGAATCCATTAGCCATACAGCCATACATATCATTTCTTATGGCTCCTTTAGTCTTTATCTCTAAATCTCACAGGTTTCCCAGAGCACCAGGTATACTAACAACAGTCAAAACAATCACAACCACCACCATAATAGCAGTTAACGCCATATCACATTTTATAGACCACAAAAAAAGATCTTTCATCTTGATTAGCACATTTTAACTGCCGTACCTTTATTTTGGTAGGGAATGCGCTTTTGTTGATTGTTGCCTACTATATTCACTAGTTCCCCTTCCCTTTATAAAATAACCAAGTGGCTGCTTTCCAGATTTTACTAAAATCCTCAGATTTGCCAAGGGTGCATTACCTATTTGCTAATGCATGCTACATAGTGTTGTCAGTTCCCAGGTACATACTCTTATACATAGCTCTCTCATTCATCAGAAGTGAGACCATAACTGTAAAATTGCTTGGTGAACATCTGGAAGTAACATTAATAATGATGATAATAATGACCTCATAGGATGTATAATTGGGGGGATTAAAGAACATTTACAAGCTTATTGTGTCATAGTTAATGATGAGGTGCCCAGTCTTCTTACTACAACCCTTTCCACTGGTATTTCCTGCCTGGATCAGAGAACTAATTATAGTAAACGGTGCCCTTTCAAAGAACTTGCCCCATCCTCAAACAGATGCTAGCATAAAGATTTTGAACTGTTTTAGTGTTGTTTTTTAGAGACAATTTATTAATGTTACCTTGCATTTGTCTAAAAAAATTGTATAATGTAATCATTTAGTGTTTATTTTATTGTGTGTACCTTCTACTCAGAGGGTTGGCATTATTGTTCCTAACAGTGACGGATACAAGCAGATCATGCCTTATGACCTCTACCATCCCCTTCCTCGGTACGTAAATCAATCATCCTGATGCTAGAATTAGTAAATTAGTCTTCTGCTTCTTTTATACATACATACATATATATATATATATATATATATATATATTATAGATTTTGTGTTTCTCTGTAAAAATAAGATGGTAGATAGCATGTTTTGCAATCCATCCTGAGCTCTGCTTTTGAATAACACTGGTCTGCTCAGACCGTAAGCTTGTCATTCAAAAACCATTTTAAGATACGATCAGATTACATTGCAGTGGACACAGTAATTCACTGTGATTAGATACAGTGCATGGGTTTATGTTATGTCTTTCTTTCACTCCCTTTGTCCTTTTTTATGTTTCCTCTGCAATAGGACCCTAGTCATTAAAGCACTGTTGCTAACTGTTAAACAAACACTGCCTGAATTATTATCCCAATACCACAAATGTGGAATTCCAGATGTGGTATTACTCTGCATAGGGGTTTTGAATATCCTTTTTTTGTTCCAAAGAAATTATAATTAAATACAAAAAGGCAGTTTTTTCATATCCTCATTGTTCAGAACATTTGGTGGGGAGGGGAGGTTTTTCTTGTGTTTTTCTCCCAAAACATAAAATTCCATGCACTATGCTGCTTTTTTAAAGTACGGTATTTTTTAAAACTAGAAAAAGTCATTAAAGTGATTGAGGAACTTTTAAAAGAACTTGTTCTCTTTATTAATATATTCATAAGAAAACTGGAGAAGCTGAAAAATACTCTAGCTACTGAGTGTATCGCCTGCCACATTGGAAAGAGCTCCCCAGAGAGCAGAAGTTAGATTTGGGTGTGAAGCCACCACTGTGCTAAGCAAGACCTTTGCTCTATTCTCTTTGCTCATTTGGACTTCAGGGAGTCAGCTGCTGTTTAGAACCCAAGGTTTAAATCAGATCACAAATAATTGGAAATAATCCACGGTGGTTTGTGCAATTTCAAACTAAACAAAGCCCAGAAAAAAATTTTATTCTGAACTGTAAAATAAAGCAAAGTTTGCTTGAAAATCTTCAAATACTTAATGAATTGAAATACAAAAAGAGGACCTCAAAGTCTTTTAGTCCAGCTCCCCAGTGATGCTTCATTCTCCCACTCTTCCCCAATAATCGCACCCATTCACCACACATACGTGAACACATGTATTTACACAAATATGCATATATGTGTATTTACTACAGATGTATTCCGACATATTTTATACACACACACACACACGCACACGCACACACACATGTATAAACCAATACGAGTTGTCATCCAGCCTCTACTTAAATACTTCCAGTGACTGGCCCAGAACTCACTTATCACCATTCTAATGGTAGCATATAGAAAGGGGTACTTGATTAATACTATACATAATTGTCTGGGGTTTCTTTTAAAGTTCTTCCACTAAGGAGTTACTTCGTTCATCAGCTCCCTCCCACTTTCCTATGTCTATATTGATAAAGACAATAAATGACTTTAGAATGCTACTGATGTATCCTTTTGCTGGTTTGATCCAGAACCAAACTTGAAAAAACAATGGAATGAAAACATAAAAAGATTAATTTAACTGAACCAAGATTTTATTTGATTTTAATTCCTGTATCCGTAAAATAAGTATTCGTAGGACGCACGTATCTGGTTGAGTGAAGGCCGTGTATTTCGAGATAAAGGCACAGTTGGGTATCAGGGATGAGAACATTAAGTTGATGTTTTTCCTGTAATGGCACCCCTCAGTTTCTTTCATATCTATGATCTCTCTTGTTTATATTTCTGTGGTGTGACTAATGCCTGTCTTGGGTTAAACTTGATTTCTTATATATTCAGATTTCCCCCAAGTGCCTGAAGCTCAATATTCTCAATGAGAGATTGAGATGAACCTCCTTGATGTTTATTTGCACCCCATCTTCTGCACACTTTGGCCTGTCCATGCATCACAATGGGAAAAGACAACTAGCAAATAAACAGACTATATTTCTTACCCCGTGCACTTCTGTTACTAAACTAATTGTAAAGTTAGATATTCTGCTTTATTGATAAAGGCTTACTAAATGGAAGTTATTTCTACGAATATGTTTTCATTTCTTAAGAAGAATTATGGCTCAACAATGGTTCTCAGAGGGCAGCTACTTACTGATCAAGGCAGAAGGCTTTACTTATTGAAATTATTTGAATGGGTTTAAGACCACAAGTGTAGATACAAAACACAACATTAAAACAAACAAAGAATTTTTAGATTCTTTTTTCTTGCTTTCAGTCTTTGACTATAACATATATCTGAATATGATATAAGAACATAGTCCGATGAATAATCTTTAATTTATACTTAATATATGCAACTTTTCCACATAATCCTTAATTTTGAGAATTTCTTAAACTAAATACACTGTGTACTTAAAAATTAAAAGCCAAAGGAGTTAAAATATATGAAGTCATCTCTTATTCTTCCAGGGCAAGATTCTTGGATATATATTTTTTTCCAAATACTTACCTGGTCCCTGTTTTAAGATATCCTAACTGATGCCCTCTCTGAGCTTTTGTTATACTTTCTTTAAAGCACCGAGATGTTTTGCTTTGAAATTCCACATAATCCTCTTATTATGCAAGGATTCACATTATAACTTTTCACATATAGAACTACAGTTGAGTGCCGGAACCATACTATAAATACTTGGAATAATATTCAAATCATTTGTCTTTCTGTGATCACTGACACTGAAAAGGATACTTATTACTGGTTACAAAATTACACCATGGATCAGGTCCAAGTGTTGAGACAGAAATTAATCACTGTCTCTTTAGAAGGGTCCAGTTTAGGGATGTTAGAGTACCAGTTAGAAAATGTGCTCTTTTTATGGCATCTTAATGTTCTAAGAGATTAAATGTCTGTTCAGAACATATTCCCAGTTCACTGTCAAATCGAGTCTAATGCAAATTTGTACGTATACATTCAGCCCAATTTCAGTCTGAATCAGACCTGTTATCCACCTCCAGCTCTCCAGAGATTTACATGGAGACAAATGAAAATTGGTCTTACCCTTTGGAAGAGAAACTCTCTACAGAGCTGCTTCCTTCTCTTGAAAGGGAACAGAGACACTCGAAAGGGCTAAACAGAGGACCTCAGTTTCCCCATAATAACATTTTCTTATGTGTCTCCTGGGGAAATATGCATAGGAAAATATTGTATTTGGCAGCATGTTTAGGCTGTTGGCAGTGGAGATAACAGTTGTTGCCTAGACTTGAACAGTGCAGAGAAAATGTGGAGGAAAATTCTCTGTAACTGGGAAACACACATTATCCATGCTCTTGCAAAAGAGAAAGCAGGCTCACAATACACGTGAAATCCCATGTAGAGAATAATTCACGTCTCCACGGTATGCCTGTGTGGTATTTTTACATTTAACTATTCAAGTGGATCAACTTGGCGACATTTTGTTTTTCTCTCATTACAATGATATCTCTCTTAATTCTAAGAGAAATCTTAAATCTTTAGGAGTCCTTATCAACAAGCAGACTATGTATGCAAGAAAAAGAAGCCCAGTCCCCATGTTTTTATTGTTAAAAACTACGACATTCTTTAAACCTACGGGAAGAGAGAAGAGAACCGGGCAAAGATATCTGTCAGCCTCTGGTCCCAGATGCACCAGAGCTGTGTAGAGATCTGAAGAATCAATGAAATTCTCTTAAGTGCTATTGACAATATTGTTATTTTTTCCCCTTACTTTACTTTATCTATAGATTCCAATGCCATCAGCCTTTGAACCAGAGCCAAACTTCTGCACAATTCCAGGAGTTCTTTAGGGAGTGCTAACTGTCAGTACCCCCGCCCCTAGCAGCTAGGGAACAAGTAGATAACGCCTATATTAACATTTTGGTTCCTAATGATGATACAGTTTGAACATCAGAATTATGCTAAATCCATGTACTCCCAAAGTTGATGACTGCAGAAGCAAGGGAGAAAGAGTATTTGATTTACCTGAATCTTTCTTGATCTTCTCATGTAAAAGTATCCAGAAGCTAAGTAATAAAGTATTGCATCAAAAATGAAAATTATTATCCCAGGTACAAACTATTAGTGTTAACTGATTAACCAATTTTAGTCTTGAGATAGATATTTAGATAGATAGCTATTAGATAGATGCAAATATATTTATAAAATATAAAATAATGTAAATATTATATATACACATACACCCACACACAAACACACACACAGACAGACACACTCAGAATCTATACTGAAGCTGTAAGGAGGACTGAACAGCCCTCTTTTGAGTAGGCTACAGACCCCACAGCTATCCTTGTAGACCGCTCTCCAAGAGTAATTTCTCACATTTGTGTAGAGCTTCGAGGCTTACAGAGCACTTTAGCCAGCATCGCATCCTCTCTGACTCGTCAGATTTCGGGCCGTAGCTGGCTTTTGGTCCTCTGGAGTGTAGCCTCTCAGAACCTGATCGCCCCAATGGGCACTGGGAAGGGGTTGGTGGGAAAGCTCACTGAGGAGGTGGGCAGTGTGCGTGTCTGCCCTGATGACTCCCCTTGCTTCTGTAGGTGGGAGGCCACCCCGTGGACCGCGTGCTCCTCCTCGTGTGGGGGGGGCATCCAGAGCCGGGCAGTTTCCTGTGTGGAGGAGGACATCCAGGGGCATGTCACCTCAGTGGAAGAGTGGAAATGCATGTACACCCCTAAGATGCCCATCGTGCAGCCCTGCAACATTTTTGACTGCCCTAAATGGCTGGCACAGGAGTGGTCTCCGGTAACTGTGCCTTCTTTCTTTGTTCGTTAGGAGAGTAAGTCCACTCTTCCCTCTCTTCATCATGACCCCACCACCCACCCTGTGCAGCTCCCCGCTTCTCCTGTGGAGGGGTCTAGAAGCCTACCCGTTTAGCCCCCAGAGCAGGCTTGCCCCGAATCGAGCCCCGCCAAAAGTAAATGAGTAGGAAAAAATATATGTATATATTTTTTCAAACATCTTTCTTCAAGCTACTTTAAGAAACCTCTGTCACTCCCCTATAACATTCCCTCAAATGGCAAGAGGAGGCAAATGTCTGTCAAGAATAATTGAGGCCGATGACTGAGCCTGAAGCTGTGTACGCTGTTCTGATGGTCAAGCTCAGTAGACCAAAAGTTTGGTTTCATTTTTCATTTCTTCTACTTTGTCTATGTCCAAAAAGTGTCTTCAGTGGATTACGATGAAAACTATGTATATTATTCACTGAAAAAAAGATGAAATGAAGATACAATGGAGGTGAAGTGGGATTAATTAAAACCGAAACAGTCTAGACCTTAGGGAAGCCACTGCAGCAGCTTAAGCATAAAATGTTATTTGGGGGCTCCTGGCTGCTAGTGGAAAAAGGTGTGAAATGGCACAGGAGATGGAAAGGTGAGATGGAAAGATGTGCCCTCAGCCACAGAGATGGCAAAGGGCTATTCACTTAGCCTTGTGGCTTTGTGGCAGCAGATCAGGGCTGTGACATCTTCCTGTCTAGACTTGTTCCCAGGCATGTAGAACCACTGGAGGTGCTGTCTACATCTGGCCATTGAATCAGTTCCTTTCAACGTCTTTTTTCCACATCACTGTAATCAATTGGATCAGCCGTGCAGCGATATAAATTAGCTATGATGGAAGTTAAAAAAAATTTAATGTCCACATGGGAGCTGGCATTTCCCATAATTTGGACCTAACAGTCATTAGCAAAGTGACTGATAAAATTGACATACAGTCTTGGTAATCAACATTGGGCACACTCTATAATTTCTTTTCTCCTTCTTTTTGCGACTTGGTTTGGGACTTTGCACACAGTGGGTGCTTAAGAAAGGCTGACTGACTAATCCAAAGCTAAGAAATTGCAAGTGATTTAATGTTCAGCCAGCTTCACCCTCAAATTGCCAAAATAGGACAAAGATCCCATGACTAGTAAGAAGTGGTATAAAGCCACCAGGAGTCCTTCTGTAAAGGGAGCCCTTTAAAAAGTCTCAGGTGGGAAATGAAGAAAAGTAAACAAGGCTTTGCCTATGAGTCTCCTCTCTTGCACTCTCCTTCCAGTGCACAGTGACGTGTGGCCAGGGCCTCAGGTACCGTGTGGTCCTCTGCATCGACCATCGGGGAATGCACACCGGAGGCTGTAGCCCCAAAACCAAGCCCCACATAAAAGAGGAATGCATCATACCCACTCCCTGCTATAAACCCAAAGGTAACTTGACAGGGGCTCTGTAACCAGTCTTGTCATTGTTGTACATATTCAGTGCTGTTTTCAACTCCTTGGAATATAGTTAAGTATCCCAAGTGTTCTTAATAGCTGTTCTTTGTAACTTAGACTCTACTAAATGGACTTAACTCCTTCTAAAAATCTTTCAAATGGTTTTTCTTGCACATTGTTTTTAAGCACTGTGTATTGCTATAATTCTCTCCTGGTTCAGAAAGTTGATAGAAGAGTGTTGCTGAAAAATATCAGACATATTTGCTCAAAAGGAGATATTTTAGAAATATATGTCTGATTTACTATCCATATTGCTTGCTGTTAAAAACAAGGCGGTGACAGCTTCCCTGGTGGCGCAGTGGTTAAGAATCCGCCTGCCAATTCAGGGGACACGGGTTCAAGCCCTGGTCTGGGAAGATCCCAGATGCTGTGGAGCAGCTAAGCCCGTGCACCACAACTACTGAGCCTGCGCTGTAGAGCCCGTGAGCTACAACTACTGAAGACTGCGTGCCTAGAGTCTGTGCTCTACAACAAGAGAAGCCAGCACAATGAGAAGCCCGCACATGCAGCGAAGAGAAGTCCCTGCTCTCCGCAACTAGAGAAGGCCCACGTGCAGCGAGACCCAACGCAGCCAAAAATAAATTTAAAAAAAATACCAAAAAACAAAAAAAACACAAGGTGGTGAGACTCATCAAGAAAAAAAGGGAGAGGGCCCAAATCAATAAAATCAGAAATGAAAAAGGATAAGTTACAGCTGACACCATAGAAATACAAAGGATCATAAGAGACCACTATGAGCAACTATACACCAATAAGGTGGACAATCTAGAAGAAATGGACAAATTCTTAGAAAGGTACAATCTCCCAAGACCGAGCCAGGGAGAAGTAGAAAATATGAACAGACCAATCACAAGTACTGAAATTGAAACTGTGATTTAAAAACTCCCAACAAGCAAAAGTTCAGGACCAGATGGCTTCACAGGTGAATTCTACCAAACATTTAGAGAAGAGTTAACACCTATCCTTCTAAAACTATTCCAAAATATTGCAGAGGAAGGAACACTTCTGAACTCATTCTATGAGGCCACCATCAGCCTGATACCAAAACCAGGCAAAGATATCACAAAGAAAGAAAATTACAGACCAGTATCACGGATGAACATAGATGCAGAAATCCTCAACAAAATGCTAGCAAACCAAATCCAACAGTACATTAAAAGAACCATATGCCATGATCAAGTGGGATTATCCCAGGGAAGCAAGGATTTTTTTAGTATCTGCAGATCAATCAAATCAATCATGTGATACACCACATTAACAAATTGAAGAATAGAAAGCATATGGTCATCTCAATAGATGCATAAAAAGCTTTTGTTAAAATTCAACATCCATTTATGATAAAAGCTCGTCAGAAAGTGGGCATAGTGGGGAAATACCTCAACATAATAAAGCCCATATATGACAGGCCCACAGCTAACATCATACTCAACGGTGAAAAGCTGAAAGCATTTCCTCAAAGATCAGGAACAAGACCAGGATGCCTACTCTCGCCAGCTTTATTCAACATAGTTTTGGAAGTTGTAGTCACGGCAGTCAGAGAAGAAAAGGAAATAAAAGGAATCCAAATGGAAAAAGAAGAAGTAAAACTGTCACTGTTTGCAGATGACATGATGCATTACATAGAAAATCCTAAAGACTCTACCAGAAGACTACTAGAGCTCGTCAATGAATTCCGTAAATTTGCTAGATACAAAATTGGCATACAGAAATCTGTTGCATTTATATACACTAATAACAGAATATCAGAAAGAGAAATTAAGGAAACAATTCCATTTACTATCGCATCAAAAAGAATGGAATACCTAGGAATAAACCTACCTAAGGAGGCAAAAAGACCTGTACTTCAAAAACTATAAGATGCTGATAAAAGAAATCAAAAACAACACAAACAGATAGAAAGATATACCATGTTCCTTGATTGGAAGAATAAATATTCTTAAAATGACCATACTGCCAAAGGCAATCCACAGATGCAATGCAATCCCTATCAAATTACCAATGGCATTTTTCACAGAACTAGAACAGAAAATTCTAAAATTTGTATGGGGACACAGAAGACCCTGAACAGCCAAAACAATCTTGAGAAAGAAGAATGGAGCTGGAGGAATCAGGCTCCCTGACTTCAGACTATACTACAAAGCTACAGTCATCAAAAGAGTATGGTGCTAGCACAAAAATCGACATACAGATCAGTGGAACAGGACAGAAAGCCCAGAAATAAACCCACACAGTTATGGCCAATTAATCTTTGACAAGGGAGGCAAGAATATACAATGGAGAAAAGACAGTCTCTTCAATAAGTGGTGCTGGGAAAAGTGGACAGCTACATGTAAAGAATGAAGTTAGAACACTCCCTAACACCATACACAAAAATAAACTCAAAATGAAGTAAAGACCTAAATGTAAAGCCAGATACTATAAAACTCCTAAAGGAAAGCATAAGCAGAACACTCTTTGACATAAATAGTGGCAATATTTTTTTGGATCTGTCTCCTAGAGTAATAGAGATCAAAACGAAAATAAACAAATGGGACCTAATCAAACTTAAAAGCTTTCACACAGCAAAGGACACCATTAACAAAATAAAAAGGCAACCTACGGACTGGGGGAAAATATCTGCAAACAGTGCTACCTACAAGGGATTAATTTCCAAAATGTACGAACAGCTCATACAGCTTAATACCAAAAAAAAAAACAAACAACCCAATCAAAAAATGGGCAGAAGACTTAAATAGACATTTCCCCAAAGAAGACATACACAGGTGGCCAACAGGCACATGAAAATATGCTCATCATCGCTAATTATTAGAGAAATGCAAATCAAAACTACAATGATATATCACCTTACCCCAGTCAGAATGGCCATCATTAAAAAGTCTACAAATAATCAATGCTGGAGGGGGTGTGGAGAAAAGGGAACCCTCTTGCACTGTTGGTGGGAATGTAAATTGATACAGCCACTATGGAGAACAGTATGGAGGTTCCTTAAAAAACTAAAAATAGAACTACCATATGACCCAGCAATTCCACTACTGGGCATATATCTTGAGAAAACCATAATTCAAGAAGAGTCATGTACCACAGTGTTCACTGTAGCTCTATTTACAATAGCCAGGCCATGGAAGCAACCTGAGTGTCCATCAACAAATGAGTTGATAAAGAAGATGTGACACATATATACAATGGAATATTACTCCATAAAAAGAAATGAAATTGAGTTATTTGTAGCGAGGTGGATGGACCTAGAGTCTGTCATACAGAGTGAAGTAAGTCAGAAAGAGAAAAATAAAGGCCGTATGCTAACACATATATATGGAATCTAAAAATGAAAAAACAAGGTTCTGAAGAACCTAGGGGCAGGACAGGAATAAAGACGCAGACGTAGAGAATGGACTTGAGGACACGGGGAAGGGGAAGGGAAAGCTGGGACGAAGTGAGAGTGACACGGACTTATGTGTAGTACCAAATGTAAAATAGATAGCTAGTGGGTAGCAGCCGCATAGCACAGGGATTATCAGCTCGGTGTGACCACCTGGAGGGGTGGGATAGGGACGGTGGGAAGGAGATGCAAGAGGGAGGACATATGGGGATATATGTATATGTATAGCTGATTCACTTTGTTGTAAGGCAGAAATAACACACCATTGTAAAGCAATTATACTCCAATAAAGGTGTTAAAATATATATATAAAAGAAGCAGTGGCCACTGATACAGCTGACAGAGTTCGGTTCAAAAAGACAGTAAAGTATTAAAAGCCTACTATTAGTGCCAAGCTGAATTCTTCATTATTGAAAGACAGGGATGGTTCGAGCTGTCATAGACGGCTTCATTGACCGAGTCATTTATATGGGGGAGGTGGGCTAGTTGTAAAATGATGTGTGTATTTTCGGAACCATCTTCCTGGATTCACACTGTTAGCAGATCCTTTTGGCTTTGGCAATTTTACATCAATATTTCTCACTGGCTTTGTTTCCTGACCATAAACAATTGTTGTACATAGAGGATAAGTGATGACCCTAACTTAAAATAGTCCATTCTTTATTCGTTCGTCCTTTACCCAGCCACTTCAGAGAAAGAAAAGCAGTTTGTGGTTAACTATCAAGAATAAAATCTGGGGACTTCCCTGGTGGTCCAGTGGTTGAGACTTCACCTTCCAGTGTGGGGAGTGTGGGTTCGATCCCTGGTCAGGGAACTAAGATCCCACATGACTCAGGGCCAAAACCCAAAACATAAAACAGGGGCAATATTGTAACAAATTCAATAAAGACTTTACAAATGGTCCATAAAAAAGAAAAGAATAAAATCTGGATTTTCACAAGTAAGTAGTGAGTCTGGCTCTCTAAACATCCTTAAAATGCCACGTAATCCTATGGTGTACGCATATATAGACATATTTCTTTCATCTTTACAAGTATTTGTCATAAAATGGTGATAGAGCTTCACTGGCTCATACTGTAAAGGCACATATGCCTATAAATGACCCTAATAAATATGTCAGAATGGGAATCTTGGCAGTTACTTCTGTAGGAGCAGTTATTACCTCCCTCTTTCTTTTTCCCCTCCACATTTTTTTTGCTAGGAAGTAGTTAGGAAGCTTGTTCTGAATTGTTTGGCCAAAGCTAGATAAATAGTTGAAGCAAGTCAAATTACGAGTTGTGGACCCTAAGTTGATCGTATTCCAGTTGTCATAGAGCCTTGGGTTGGTATTGAATGAGTCAAATGTCTAAAGCAACATTTTGTGAATTTCAGAGTGTCAATTTTGTTTGTTTTTCACAGTATGGAACAGATCCCACTTAGCCAAAAGGCAAAAGAAAAACAAGTTAGAATTTATGAAAGTATCACAGTATAATCCATTGTACTTTGTGTTTGTTTTAAAAGGTAAATCTTTTCAGCAGG